AAACTAAAGTCAGGTGCCACCACCACCTGGTTTATCCTCCTGAAGCACTTCTTAAAGTGCTCCAGAGGAGCCTGATGGTGTTTGCCTGTAATGCGAAGTTTTGGGAGGTTGAGGCAAGAACACTTCACGGTCAGCCTGGGCTGTACGAAACCCCGGCTCAAAAAACAAAACCTAAGACAACAAAAAAGAAAAACCTTTCCATGTCTACCTGCCCTTCCTAGAGGTCCTGCTGTGGTTTATTCACTACAACCCACAGCCTTTAGCAGGGATGATGAGATGGAGGTGGGTGGGTGTGGGTTGGTAGAGCTTCCCAACGCCCCGCCCCTTTCGGACGCCTTGGCATCCTCTCTGGCCACACCCACTCTCCGGCCCCGCCCCTGTCTGGGCATTGTTATTCATCCTTGGTTGGGGGGGCTCCAGCCCCTCTTTGATCTTGGACCCGCCCCTCGCTCACCGCCTGGCGCCGAACGCTCCCTAACCAATCAGCGCTCGCAGGCTGGCCTCCGCCTCCTCAAGCCCCGCCCTCCGCCTTTAATCCTAATCGCTTCCGTCTAGCGGCCTCAGAGCCACGCGGCGCGGCCTGGGAGGTGTTTCCTCGGCTCGTTGGCGCCACTTTCCCGCATCCTCGGGCCGCTGTCGGCTTTGCATTTGAGAATCTCATTTCCTCTCCGGGACCGGAGATCCTCGGTCTCCTTCTCCCAGGACTCCAGTGCCCGGGGACCACGACCCGGAGCCAGGAAGAGGCTCTAAGCCCGGAATCCCGGATCCCGGATCCCGGAGGCAGCAGGCATCCCGGGATCTACGCCACCTGGATTATTGAGCTGCTTCTGGAAGACCTCAGCCACTTGGGCGTGCGTCCTCAAGCCTTCCCGGAGTCACAGATCCATCCCCACGTCGTCCTGGTCTGAAGAACCTGCCCGTCCTCCAACCTCACAGCAAAAGAAATCCTGCCCAGGCGCTCGCTCTCGGTTCCCAGTTTTCCGGGGTGTCCGATACCGCTGGGGAAGGTAAAGGGGTCTCTGCGCACAGCCTTGGAGAGCAGGTGGACACACAACTTCAAGGACCTCTGACAAGTGACTGCCTCT